ATATTCTCTACCTGAATTTCCATGAAAAGTCGCCTCACATTATCATTTGAATTAGTTAGCTGAGGCTTATGGAAAACCTAATAAAAAGATACTTGTGCTAAAACAATAGAATTATGCAATTCTGCTATATGGAATAGGAGAATGCATGTATTGTGTGTTACATGTGTGTTTTGGTAGCTGTGTGTTCTGTTGTACTGTGTTACGACTTCAAAGTTGAATAGGATTAATGTCTTGGGGATGATATTTGGGTTTTGCTTATTTGAGGAAACTTTAATGGCTTTTCAAGTCTAACTTGTGAAATATGGAAGTATTATTTGAGGACTGAAGGATTATATGAGCTTGAACACTGACAAAAGGCAATATAAAAATAAATGGCTTTTTGCCTGCTTAAAAGTTGTAGTTCTTTGTGCCAAAATGGAAGACCTCCAAGTTCCACAGAGACTTTAAAGCTCTGCTTGACAAAGGCTGAATTAACAGTAATGTAAGGTTCATGAAGCCAAATATTTTTGTTGTGACCGTTAATTAAAAATGAAAATAAATCTTTCTGGGACTGTATGGCAGTCTGTCAGTTGGGGTCTTACGAAGGGAGCAAAGCATTTTAGGGGGGCCTTTCAGTGTATTGTAGGAAAAGGCCATGTTCTTCAAGGTTTTGCCTTGTAGGGCTAAATTTCAAGCTATCTTCTCTTTTATTGTTCTTCAAGACAACAATTAGCATTGCTTACCATCACAGGGCTTGAGAAATGCAAGGTGAGCTGTAGTGTTTTTAGATGGCAGAAGTTTTAGTTGAATTTATTGCCTATTTGCTGTGATGAAGGACTAGTGTGCCCAGCCGTGCTAACTAACATTCTCTACAGGCTGCGTCACGGCTTGCTGTGTTTCCATAATTCTAGCTACCGGACTCCAAATACAGACGTAGAGCAGACAAAAGACCTATTGATTCAAGCTCGGCTTTCTTCATCTTTCAAGGGAACATATGCTACTTATTGTCTGCACAGTAAGGGAGGATGAAACCTTGCTTGTTCATAACCTTGAAGAATTAATGTTTAGGGATTTTTCAAAGGCTATAGGCTAATATTTTTTCAAAGTATTTCTTATTAATTTAGTACTCAGGAGGTTGACTGAGTACTAAGTAGTGGATCTGTTGTTGCTGATGAAACCTGTTATCATTTTACTTTTTGACTTTTAGTGACTCTAGGATCTATTTGCTGACTTTGCACAGTATGAAAATTTGATGGCTTTTTTCAGGAGTTGTACTTGATATTAATAAATCCCAGACCTCGCAGGAAAACCTTAGGGTTGGAGAATAAGAACAGAGAAGTCTTTTGCTTGCATGGATTTTTGTGCTGTTTGTGGCCTGACAGGTATGGTCTGTCCTTGTGCAGGAAAATGGCTCCGAACATTTGTGCTAATGCCTGTTGAGAGGCAGGAATTGGAAACAAAATTGTCTGCCTGGTCCCTCTCATAATAATGACGATTGAAGCTGAAAGTGGATATAAGAGAGTGATACAAAAGTTACCAGGGAAAAAAGCATTTACAACAAATCCCATTAAATTAATTGCGACGGTTACTTGAGCTCAGGAAACCATGAATTCAGAAGGCTTTCCACCAAGGCAGCTTGCACTTTATACCGTGAATGAGCTTTAAGTACTTTTATTACTTGTTTTCACCAAATAGAAAAAAAAGAAAATTTGTGAAGGTTTTTTGGTTTGGTTTTTTAAGATAATGCTTGTGAGAACCAGCTACTATTAAAAATGAGTTACAGTGTAAATGAAGCCACCTAAGCTTTTGAGGCAAATTTTGTTGTGTTCAGACCCATTTTGGAGAACAAAGCTGACCTTTTGTCTTCACAGTGTATTTCTAACTAAAGGATTCTGTGTACTTTGGCTGTCTTGAGGTTAAAAGGACAAGTCTGAATTATGTCAAACAAAAAACTCTGTTTATGCTTTTAGCATGGTTTTGGAAAGGCTGTTTTTCTGTTTTTATCTGAACCTGGAATTTTATCCAGTATTGATCAGGAGTTAATATTCAATGTTCCTGCTTCCTTCTTGCTAGCTGTGGCTGCTGCTGCTGTCCACTAGCTCTGGACCTGCAATATCGCAAGAGTAGGCTTATACCGCAGTTAGAAGCGTGCCTGCAGTTTATAGAGATAAGCCGAGCTAATTTTGAGCTGGTACCTTGGGTTTTAGCAGCATAGGAGCTGAATAGGTTTTTGGAAGGCTACCTTGCCCTAAACACAGAGCTGTCATAGCAGTGTTGCTGTCGGTGTCCAAACTGGGTTGTTTAAAGCAAGCTCAGATTCACCGAGCTGAGCTGCAGTCACACGTCTTACAGCTGTGTAATCGTGGGCAGACGTAGATACTGTGCATGGACAGCTCCTAGGGGGCTTCTAAGGCTCTGTCTGTTGGGAAGTCTGGACTTGCTTGTCTGCTCATTTGCTTATCAGGTGAAAGAATTCAAATGTGACTCAGTTTCTTGCTGCCTCCATAAAAGGGGAAGGCATCTGATCATTTCTTGTTTGTTTTTATTTTACTGGTTTTTGTATTTTTGTTTTTATTTTACTATTTTTTATTTTACTATTTTATTAAGTACTTTATCAGGTAGAATTAAAATAATTGAAACAAAACCAATAAGATCTGTTGATTGATGAAAACAAACCCAAGCAGTAGCCTGTAGTATCAAGATAAAAGTCCCTGTTAATTGTGCCCTCCTTGCCACAGCTATATTTCAGGTATGGGGGATATAGCAGACAAGTATAAATTAGATTTCTTGATTCTTTTCATTTATTGCTCAGGTAGCCTCAATTAGATTAACGCCATGTGCAGGACACCAGCTACTTTTTTAAACTCAAACAATCCACTGTGTGTGTGTGTGTGTGTGTGTGTGTGTGTGTGTGTGTGTGTGTGTGTGTGTGTGTGTGTGTGTGTGTGTGTGTATGTGCACATACACACACATCCATGTACGCAGGGAACATTTTTTTTTTAGGTATAGGATTTTCTAGGTATTAATGTCACAATACCTGTCTACCTAACAAATTATAGGTTTGACCTCACAAGCTGAATTTTTAGCTCAAACACTGTGACAGCACTTGATTTTGCACATGCTGGAATGCCTGTGTCTTCCGTTGGCTTCAGTTAGAACTGCAGGTGTTGAGAACATTTGTATGTTAGTTTATCAAATGGAAGCATGAAAATTAGAGCCAAGCAATGGAGCAGTTCACACAGATATTTGGCACACAGGGGTTTCCAGTGTAGTCTTTCATAAAAAGTTTTTCCAAGTATCTACTCATGTGAAAGAGATGATTCCTTAAAATGTATTTAGCATTTTACATAATGTGGTAAAGGTTTTATATCCACAGTCCTTGTATACATTTTTGTCATTAGAAAGTTTAATTTTCTGTGACTCTTCTTTATGGTAACTTTCACAAAGTGTAAAAAATGTTTGAAATGTAACAGTGGTTTTATTTTTATAAAATGTACTATTTTATACTTACAAAGCCAATAAGAAGTGAGGAGGTTGTGCTCAATCAACCTCCATTAAGAAGTAGTACAGGTTTTAATATGTCACCATGCAGTGCAGTCACCTAGGAATATTTTTTTTTTAAAAGCCATTACTCTGTTTTTTTTAAATGACTGTCTGTGCAGTAACTGTGCAGAATGAACTCTGCCCTACTTCCTCTGCCTTCTGTTGTCAGTTTTTCTCTTTTCTTTGCCCTGACAGTATAGAATGTAATATCTTGAAAAGTGGGGCTTTTTTTTCCTCATTCTACCCAGAGCAATGCAGTGATCATTTTATCTGATGAATTTGTTGAATTTGATGGGTTATTTGTAAAATGAAATGTTATCTACAAAAATATAATACAAAATAGTACATTTTTAGGATAGAGATTTAAGCAATAAACTGTATAATAAATGTAATTTATGATGATGATGAGAATTGAACTGCTTTTGTAGTAACTAGGAACCTTCACTGATTTGTGGGTTTTATTCTAAACTACTCCTCAGTAGTAAATTAAAAATGTATTTTTAATAGACACAGTCAATGACTTTAATACAAAACTGGAGAGTGCCCATGCTCAAATATAATGTGGTACTCCAAGTAGGAAATATGTTCATATTTCAGAGAACATAAGGATGGTTTGGTACACCTAAACCTCCTTCATGAAAACTCATTCAAGAGAGTTGTTTCAGTTCCTTTTTCCTTATTGTGAAGATAAGCTCATGAATATTTTTACTGTCGCTATCTATGTCAAACTCTGCTTTATGAACAAACAAAAAGAGTATTAAATGGGTCTGTCAGCACTCTGTTAGCCCCACTGAGAGAGAAATGCATCTTTACAAATATGTAAGTGCTGACTAAACAAATTCATTGTATCTGAAGCAACTGTATGTTGGACTTCACCAAGGACATGTGAAAGAAATTAATAGTTTTTCCATTTCTGGTTGTGTTACAGATGTGATAGAAAGCCAGACTTTGCTATGCAGGAGTAGTCACTTTGAGAACACACAGTCATTTAAATAAACAGGGCTGCTTACTACAAAAAGTGAAATTGACAGGAAAAAGTACAACTTTTAAAAACAAGATGATTAAGGATAGTATATAAATATAGTAAAAAGGGAGACTTATTTTGGCAACCTTACTGTGAATGGGTTTGAGCTCTGTTTCTGGGTGTGATTCACAGGTTTGGAATATAATCAGGCTAGAGCTTACACTGATTTGACTGCTTTATATTAACATTGCTTCCAGTTTATACAAGTTTGTTCCTAAGGATGCATGAACAGCAACAGCTGGACAGTGAAGTTCTAAATATGCTAAAGGTATAGAGAAAGCTCTACCAAATATTTGTGAATTTAGCTCAAAGTGGATTTGGATGCCTAAGTATTCTAGAGAGTTTTTAGTCTTGGCCATAAATTTCATTTGCAATGCTTTGCTGTTACTCATTTAAAATTTTCAATGTTGAGAACTGCTGATGACTGCTTAGGCATTTTCTCTGTCATCCCCAGGAAAGATGTCCAGAGACCGGGCTCTGAGGAAGCAGCAGCAATTGAATAATTTGGTAGCAGCAGTGACAAAGCTTGCTAAGCCTGGAGATGTGATTGTGGATTTTTGCAGTGGAGGGGTAATGTATATTTTTGTTTTCACATGGTGCAATTTCTTTCAGCTTTCATCTTTGTGGTTCTAGGTGATTGCTGCCACAAAGCAAAGCAAAAGAATAAATGCTGAAATTTTAGCTGCTTTCAAAGGTTTTGTCACTGGTTAGGGGATGCTCATCATGTAATGAGTCAACAACAGGGGCACTGAAAAGAGACTCAGATTTTGTTGTTTGTTTTTGTTTTGACAGGGCCACGTTGGAATTGTTCTTGCTCACATGATGCCATCATGTCAGGTAAATTATAAAGTACAGATGGTAGGAGCTTTTGGTCTCTGATAATCATCTTAAAAAGATGTGCATGTAGGGAGAATAAATATAAAGACAGAATTGTCTCAGCAGAGGACTTAGATTTGAAACATGCAAATTTTTAGCATAATCCCAAATGTGTGCTATACTTGCCTGAGAAAACAGAAGTTATAGGAAAATATAAAATATTTGTAAGCTGATTGATATTGGCAAGTATTAAAAGCCTTCCATTGTTGTTGGGTTTCCTGCTAATCATTTTGGACATCTCAAGCTCTGCCACAAGTAATTTAGACGTTTTCTCAACTAAACTACAAAGTTTTGTGCTTGTTGGTAATGTTGTACTTTGATTTCTCAGTATTATTTTGCCTTACTTTATCCTGTGTATGAAATCTAGGTGGTGCTCATAGAAAACAAGGAGTTGTCTCTGATCCGTGCTAAAGACAGAAGTGATGAACTAGGTTTAAACAACATTTGGTTCATTCAAGCAAATTTGGACTATTTTAATGGGACTTTCAACATTGGGGTAAGTGATTATAACTTTTCCAGTTCAGAACTTCAGTGTCTGGTCAATTGTTCTTAAAACAACTAAAATATCTGAGAAGAAAATTCTATATGTCCTTACAGACAGGTATTTTTGATGCTATGAGAAGCACCCTTGTTATAGTAATCTGTATTAAGTTAGTTTTGTATTTATTATTTGTTGCAAATTAGCATTACTTCTATATTACACGAGTGAAGAAAGAATTGTCTGCTCCAGTCAAATACAAAAATAGGAGTGCTGCCTGACCATGTTGAAGAAAAAATGGGGTGGATCATTGGTTTAATCATGTTATTTTAAAATCAGTGATATAAGGGGTATATTTTGGAGATGGTTTTGAAGATGGGAGAGAAGACTACTGTTGCTGAAATTAAGCCTGAGTACAGTAAAGTGAGATCAGAAGTGTAGTTGGGTGACAGTGAAAGCATTTTAAGATAAAGCAAACAACTCAAGACTACATGATGCAAAACTGAGAAGGAACTATCTTGACAGAGCAAATGTTATACTAATGATATACATGTGTATTCATTGTGTAATGTATACTTGAGACCAGTTGTTCTCAGGGTACCCAGGCCGTTGAGCTGGAAGATGGGGATGGGGAGCAGAATGAAGCCCCCATAATCCAAGGGGAAATGGTTAGTGACCTGCTACACCACGTAGACACACACAAGTCTACGGGGCCAGTTGCGATCCACCCAAGGGTACTGAGGGAGCTGGTGGAGGTGCTCACCAAGCCACTTTCCATCATTTACCAGCAGTACTGGTTAACCGGGGAGGTCCCAGTTGACTGGAGGTTAGCAAATGTGACGCCCATCTACAAGAAGGGCTGGAAGGAGGATCCGGGGAACTACAGGCCTGTCAGCCTGACCTCAGTGCCAGGGAAGGTTATGGGGCAGATCGTCCTGAGTGCCATCGCACAGCACATATGAGACAACCAGGGGATCAGGCCCAGTCAGCATGGGTTTATGAAAGGCAGGTCCTGCTTGACTCACCTTGTCATAGAAGGAGATCAGGTGACCCGTTTAGTGGATGAAGGAAAGGCTGTGGATGTTGTCTACCTGGACTTTAGTAAAGCCTTTGACACCGTCTCCCACAGCATTCTCCTGGAGAAACTGGCTGCTCATGGCTTGGGCAGGCGTACTCTTTGCTGGGTAAAAAACTGGCTGAATGGCCAAGCCCAGAGAGTGGTGGTGAATGGAGTTAAATCCAGTTGG